TCTGATGCTGCTTGGCCTGCTGTGTTCATCCAGCTCTACACCTTGTTGTCTCAGATTCTCCAGCATCTGTAGTTCCTTCTATCTCTGGTAAATGTGACTCCTGCCTGCTACATTTGCCTTAAGGCTGGACCATACCACAGAAATACCAGGGCAAGTGCCTGGACTATTAACAGCCTGACTGGAGCATCTGGCCACTGGGATATTGGAAGCTGACAATAATATTTTGCCTTTTGTGAATGTGAAGGCAGACATTCATCTGGTCTAACTTTTTAAAGTGCATAAATGCTGACTGCTTAGTTGTTGATTTGTCACTCACTTAACAGCAGCTCAACTCTGTGACTGATTGTGCTTAGCAAATAGCTGTATTGGGCCCCATACACAAGGAGGAAACTGCAAAATCTTTGGAAAAGCATTCTCCAGGCTGGTTTCATGACCGAGAATTAGGATTTCCAGGAAGGTTGGCATATTGCAGCCTTCAATCAGATATGATGGAGGGAAAAGACAGAGCGTTGTGATTCAGGCAAAAGAAGCCACTTTTCCATAATCACTTCATTGTTGGAATTTCAGTGCAACCAGGACACAGATGAAACTAGTTCAAATGTAAATATTGCCTCCAGCTCAGATAAATAATTTCTCACACTAAATGGGCCTGAATTTCTACCCTTCCAAAGTTTACATTTGTTTTAAACACCACACCACCCATCTCCAGTATTCTTCCCCTAAAAAAGATGACATATATGGCAAAATATTTCACAGTCAGTAGGGACCCTCTGCTTCCTTGACCAAGTACTTACTTCAAACGTAAACATGATCATTGGGTGTGGTCAGTTAAACATGGCAGTTATCCAAGCCAAGCCTGTCCTGTCCTGATGTGATATCCAGGAAGATCATAAGAAATAGGAACAGGAGCAGTCATTTGGGCCCTCAAGTCTGCTCCACCATTCAATGGGATCATGGCTTATCCAACATTTCTCATATACACTTTCATGCATTTTCCCCATAACCTTTGATTCCCCAACTGATCAAGAATCTATTTCAGCCTTAGATGTACACAAGAACTCTAACCCCACAGCTCTCTGTGGTAAGGAGATTCAAAAACTCTCAACTCTCTAAGAGAAGAAATTCCTTCACATCTTAGTCTTAAATTGGTGCCCCTTTATTCTCAGACTATGCCCCTTGGTCCTAAACTCTCCCATGAAGGAAGGCGTCATCTCAAACCCCTTAGGAATCCTATACGTTTTAATGGGAACACATCTCATTCTAAGAAGCTCCAGTGAGTAGAGTCCCAACCTGTTTACTCGAAAGGCAATCCCTCCATACCAGGGATCATCCCAGTGAACTTTCTCTGAACTGCCTCCAACAAAGTCATATCTTTCCCTAAATGAGAGGACCGAACTATACACAGATGTAGTCTGACCAACACCTTATAGAGTTGCAGTAAGACTTCCCTACTCCTTTACTCCAACCGCCTCAAAATAAGGGCCAACATGCCATTAGCCTTCCTGATTACCTGCTGCAACTGTCTGATAGATTTCTGTGCGTTGTGCACAAGAAATCTCAAATCACTTTGCGTTGCAGCTTTTCTCTTTTTAAATAATGCTTTCCTTTTAGTCTGCCTTCCAAAATGAACAACTTCACATTTTTCCCCACATTGCACTCCATTTGCCAACTTTTTGCACACTTCCAGAAGAGGTCACTAGTTACTGATGAGGCATAGAAAGTTTGACTATTTTTGTCCCCAGTCTGGATAGCTGAGGGGTATTGTATACCCTCATGATGCCCTTTCTTGACTCACCAGACAGGGCAGGCACCAAAGCTGAGAACTATGTGGCCAAATCAAGTTGGCACTATGCATTGGAGCTCATTTGTCAATGAAAACTTTGGGGGAACTCCCACAGGCTGTAATATGAGAAGCTTGCAGACTCTAAGAACCAAATATAAATCTCTATCTAATCATTACAAGACTGTAAAAAAAAACATATTGATAGGGTTAACTTTAAAGTGAATCACCAGGCTGAGAGTTCTACACCATATCCAGTATTACCTCATACTAATTTCGATGGAGTCTAAAACTAGGCAGGGTCCTAACTTCTTTCAAGACCTGGTGGGGTGAGTTAATGAAGTCTGGGGTAATTAAGATCAATTTATCAGTATCTGGGGTGATTAAAGTACTTTCTAAAGTAGATCAAGGGGAGCGATGGTGCAATGGTAGTGTCCTTACCTCTTGATTAGGAGATTCACGTTCAAGTCCCAAATAGTCCAGAGGCGTATCATAACATCTCTGAACAGGTTCAAAAGAAAATATGTATTAGGTTATAATGAGCACTGTTGTGGCACAATAGTAATGTCCCTGCCTCTAAGGTATGTTGACCTGGATTTAACTTTCACCTGTTCCAGACGTACATCCTAACACATCTGAGTGGGTTAATTTAAAACAAAATCTGCAAATTATAGTAATTCATTATAATTTATGGTTTTACTTTTATTTTCATGATTCTTTTTAATATATGAAAATTTATGAACACTCCTGAATGTATCAGTCATTGTATTTTGTTTGAGACAAGCATATGTCATGTAAGTATTCAATAGGCCAATTTTAAAAGAACAATTGTACATATTTATTAGACCACTGGTACCATTTCAGAATATTTATTTACTTGTTTGTTCAGCAATTTTTCAAGAGGTGCTTGTAAATTAATAAATTGCATTTTGTTTTCCTCACAGGTTTCAAACTGAAGTTAATTATGACACACTAGAAATTCGGGATGGGCCCATTAACTCATCACCTTTAATAGGAGAATACCATGGTACACAAGCGCCCCAGTTCCTAATCAGCACTGGCAATTATATGTACCTTCTATTAACTACGGACAATAGCCGTTCAAGTGTTGGTTTTCAGATTCACTATGAAAGTAAGTTTCTTTTGTCTCTTCCAAACAGAACATCCTATATGAACAATGTCTTATCCTTGGGAGAATAAGAAAGTTGTGTTTATAATACTTCTTCAAATAGAATTTTTTTCTGTAATTTTTTGGGCTCTTGGTGCTACAGAATCGGTACAATTTACATTGCAAACAGGGCTCTATATCATTGGCAGCTGACAAGTTTGACAGCACAGCTTGCAGCTCTGTTTTCCAACTCTGGGGTTGTTTCTTCGTGTATGGATATCCTTACAAGCTATTCTGAACTGTGAGATGTTTCAGTTCTGTTGGTGCACTGCTGACATGAACATTGGAAGGATTAAGAGAAATTGGTAATGCTTTTGGCTTGATTTATGCTGACGGAACATACAATTCCAAAATGTATGCTTGTTTTTTAATGTATGTGTCTTAGACACTTCATTTCTTGGAATCCTCAGTCCAAAGATGTGCAGACTAGTTGGATTGGCCATACTGAATTGCCCGTCGTGTACAGGGATGTGCAGGTTAGGTGGATCAACCATGGGAAATTCAGGATTACAGGGATAGGGCAGGGGGTGGGTCTGGGTGTGATGCTCTGTGTGGACTGGATAGGGCGAATACAGTGTTTCCACACTGTAGGGATTCTGTGGTTCTAAGACTTGGGTTGCTCTGGTAATTTTGAGTCACCTTTCTTCACAGCATTAACAGTTCAGCACTTCTGTCTCTTGAGCAGACGATTGTTCAGTATTTGCTTCATGTTGTTAAACTCTTGAAAGCATATCGCAACCCTGGTGACTGTGACACTATCTCATTTTCTCAACTCAAGTACCACATTGACAGATGTCAGTCAGAACTTCCCAAACATCATTACTCTGAATGACCAAGGAGCACATACTTCAGTTCACTGATCTGACCTTTCCCCAGTTTGACTCATTAGTGTTAAACCGCACCTTGATACTCATGGGGGCTGTCTGAACTCTCAGTAGAGCCTGGAAAAATGAATTCAGCAAGCAATTCATTCCAGTTTATGCCAGTTGTGCTGATGAGAAAATTTTGTATAAAGTTGTCTCCATTCGCTTTTAGTGTGGGAACATTTGCTGTTGCATTAATTGAGCAGGTTTTCCTTTAAGTTAATTAGAATCATTAATTAGAAACTCATGGATACATTGCATCTTGTGTTTCGCGATAAGTCCACATAAAAAGATTCAACTAAAATAACTCTGACATTACCATTTTGTTTTGCACTATTTCTCATCCTTACTTTTCACACTTTCATTCGATAGGACACAGATTAGCTTGCACTTTTCATATGTTCAAGTCACCTTCAGAATCACGAGATGTGTGAAGATAAACATTGTGAATATTATGATGAAAATTGTTTCTTTCTTCATGAAGAAATACAAATGTAAAAGCCACATAACATTGATTCAACCTTGTAACTAAGTCTCTTCAAAGTTCCTTTGTTCAGCAGTTTAAACACTGGTAGCCTCATGAAAGTGAACTTCAGGTTTATCGTATCCCTGCATAATGGAGTGGACTGTCTAAGTTCCCAAATGTAACTTCAAAATGTTTTGAAGACAGATTTTTTGAGAGATACAAAGGAGAAATTTACTATATGAGAACACCTCCTGGATAAGGTGCAAAAATACATACTGACAGACAAAGGATAATTCCAAATCTTGAAACAACAACGGTGAGGAAAGGTTAAATTCACTGCACTTGATTTCAAGAACAAAAGATAATAAGAGGAAATCTGATGAATTGTTTTAACATGAAGAGTTTGGGAGGTGACGGTCACTATTAATCCGGGGACCCAGGCAATATTCTGGGGATAAATAAAAATAATGAAGTGCAGATGCCAGAAATCTGAAACACAAACAGAAAGTGCTGGAGAAACTCAGCAGGTCTGACAACATCTGGAGAGAGAGACAAAGAGTTAATGTTTCAAGCCCAGTGACCATTAACTTTCTGTTAATGTTCTGGGGAGCCAACTTTGAAAAGCACCAAGATGAATGGTGCCATTTGAATTCAATAAAATTCTGGAATTGAGTTTCATACTAGTCAAGCTGTTTCAATTGTCAGAATAACTCATCTGTTTTAGGGAAGGAAACTGCTATCCTTACCTGGTCTGGCCTGCACGTGACTGTAGTCCTTTGGAATGTGCTTTGCAGGGTCCCCATGTGCAACTCCCATCTACACTGGAATTAACACTGTCTGGCCAATGGAAAATCCAGGCCTTTGTTCTTCGGTTTTGAGAATCATTGGCCATTTATTGTCCATCAATAATTATCCTGAGAATATGGTGGTGGCAGTCTTTCCGAATCTGCAATTCTTGTGGTGTTGGTGCATCCATAGTGCATTTGGTGAGAAACATCCAGTTTTTCACCCAGTGACAGTGAAAGAACAGTGACATAGTTCCTAGTTGGGAGGACTATTGACTTGGAGGAGAACATCCAGGCGATGGTTGTCTTGTACATTCACTGCCCTTCTTTTTGCAGGTGGTAGAGGTTGTGGCTTTGTGAAAAGCTGATGAAGAAATCTTGGTGAGTTACCACAGAGCATCTTATAGATGGTACACACTGCTGCCACTATGCATCGGTAGTGAAGGGAGTAAATGTTGAAGGTGTTAGATGAGGTGGCAATCCAGCTTGGTCCTGGATGGTGTCAAACAAGTTGAGTATTATTGGAGCTGCATTCATCCAAGCAAGTGGTGTATATTTCAACAAACTCCTGACATGTGCCTTATAAGATGGTGGACAGGCATTGAAGAGGCAAGAAGTGAGTTATTCAATGCAGAATTCCCAGCCTTTGACCTTCTCTTGTAACCGCATTATTGATATGGCTGATCCAGTTCAGTTTCCAGTCAACGGTAAGGCCTATGATTCTGATAGGTGAATATTCAGTCATGGTACTATGCTGAAGTGACAGCTTATGCGTTCAAGTCTCCTGAGTGAGACAATAATCATTAGCATAAGCCTAACGGATGCAGGATATTTGGAAAAATATTGCTTGCCTTAGAGGAAAACAGACGTGTAAAATATATTCTATTTATAACCTGCTGAAATGGAGTGACTCAGCTACTTCTAAAAGACCCAGATAGCTATTGGATTGGTAGCTTTATTGGCTACTTTATGGATCAGAATGAATCAAGCAATATCTGGGTTTCTTTGTTATTAAGACAGAGATTGTGCATTTTCTGAGTGACTGCCAGAAAATGATCTTGCTCTTTGTCCTAAAGACCTTTCCGAGTTTATCCTCTTCCATGAGATTTAAAACTTGCTCCCTTCTGGAGATAAGCCCAATCCTTTTGCTATTCTTCAGATTTCCAATGTCTTAACGTCTATTAACATGTAGGATGGTGGAATTGTGCAGCAATGGGTCTGACTGCCAAATTATCATTTATATTGGGTCGACTGCATTTTCAAATCAGATCATGGGGAAGTTGGAAGTTCCTGCTTGGACAAGCCAGAAAGAGCAAGAAAGAGGAAAAGTTGCCATCCTATAACTGACACCAAATATCCGGAAAGCCCATTAAAATTGAGTAAATTTAAGAAGGAGATGGACAGATTTTTATTTAATAATGGTACAAAGGATTGCGGGGTGCAGGCAGAAAAGTGGACTTGAGCTTGAGATGTGATTAGCCATGACGATATTAAATGGAGGAGCAGGTTTGAGGGGCTGAATTGTCTCCTGCTCCTAATACTTATGTTCTTATGTTCTAACTGGCAGAAGGAGATCTTGGAGCTCCTTCCTGTTTGAGTAGTCTTTCTGGGCCTAATAGAGGCATGTTTTTCTCTGCTTGTGCTTGCACATTCTTGAATCTCTTTGCCAGTTGTGTTTATTTTTATACTCGCATTACTTATCCTGGAACAATAAGTAAGCTAATGCAGGTTCTCTGAGCTGACACTCAGAGGAGAGGAAAGAATTATCGAGAAGATTTTTATGCCTTTCCTGCTGGTTTCTAAACCTCAGTCAGCAGAAAGTGGTAAAAAGGCCTCACTTGAATAGATTGTGTGCTGGTGAAAGGTCAGGGTGTAAGGTAAATTGGGCATCGTTTCAGGAAAATCTCAGTGGTGTACAAACATGGTATACCTAAAATATGGGCTGAATCATATAGTTTTTTGGCTGAGTGCAAGGTGCATGGAGTTTTTTGGGTTAAATTTTTGCTGCATGGCCTAATGGCTTTCATTGCCATATATTATCAAATTCACTTCATTAATTACCCACCCCATCCCTATAGTAGCCTTCTCATCTAAATTGATCCTCATCTTACCACGCCTCACTCTCAACAACAACTTGCCTCTCAGTGGATATCCTGGAATTGTCTGGCAGCCTTTACACCCATACCATCTTTAAAAGCCATTGTATACCTAGAGAGGTGGTCAGTCTGGAGCTGCGTTGCGTGGCTCCTGGCATTTGCTGCGGACATGACAGGCCAGGAGAATTCAGCAGCCCACTTTGTGGGCAGGGACCCCATGGCCCTGCTGGATGAGATATTGTACAGATGGGATGTCCTCTTTCCCCAGGACCTGCAGCGGAGGCCATAACCCCAGACTATGCCAGCCTGGTCTGAGGTTGCCACCTGGTTCAGTGCAGTCTGAGCCACCTGAAGGAATGCACAGCAATGTGGCAAGAAGGTCCACCAGCAGAACAGCCACCATCTTCACTCTACTACCTCACTCGCCTATATTTCTGTTGCTACACCTATTTTTCACTAAGCCTCACACTCTACCACACTCACTATTACTTGCAATACCTTGCTAACTTGCTGTCATTCACCCTGCATGCTCCCTGCACTGTCTACTCAGCTGTTCAGAACACCTTCCCCACCCACACCAGAAATAACAACTGTAACACCACTCTCATCTCCCTTGATACCTGCCTTTCTCTCATTCCAGGAGGAAAACAGCCCACAATAGGACAGAGAAACTGAACACAGGTGGGAGGCTGCCAACATTTTGCTCCTTACCCATTGTGTGGAGGGCATCCTGATTCTGGGCTGACACTTGCTC